CGGAGTGCCGGTCCGCAAGGCAGGCGTGGGGGCGCGCGGGGTCTCACAGCACCATGGCGGGCAGGTGGTGCGCGGCGGCGGCTGCGGCGGCGGCGGCGGCGGGAGCGGGCAGCAGGGAGACCCAGGCGGAGGCCGAGAGCCGCGTACCGGGCGCCTTGGGGAGGCGAGCAGCTCGCGACCGCAGCCCCGGGATCCTGCTGCCCCTCCGGGCCGCCAGTCTCCGCCTCTTTGCCAGCACCAGCGGCTACGCAGCGACTCCTGTCCCGCCGCCTCCCTTTCGCTCCGCAGCCTTCCGTCTCCCCGCAGCGAGCCCGGCCGGCCGGGCCGTGGCCTTCCTCAGTGCCGGCCGCCATGGCAGGGGCGCCCGGCGCGGGGGAAATCTAGCCCGAGGATTTTATGAGGCCTAGCTTGGTTCCGTCTCCTCCCCCAGTGGCCCGGCAGCTGCCCGCACCTTAGCCCCCACTCCGGGCCTCTGAGTCTCTCCTGTGATCGTACTGACACGGCCGGGGGGTTAGAATGGAACAAGCTGAAGGTAAAGTGTGTGCGCGTGTGTGTGCGTGTGTAGCCTGGGCTGAGGAGGATCCATGGGGCTGGGGCGACCTAAGGACTGAGAACCCGTCCTGAGTGAGGCCGGGGAAGGGGAGGAGGCAGCTGGTGGCCTGAAAGGGTTCGAGGGTAATCTAGAAGGTAGAGCCGACGGTTAGGTGGGTGTGGAAGGAATTGGGAGGTGGGGCTGGAGAGGTAGGATTGGGATATGATGTAGTGGTGCTGAGCTGGGAATTGGGAGTAGAGGTGGGATGGGGGCGGGGATAAGAATGGAAACGGGGGAGGGGCAGGAATAGAGGGAAGAGTTAGATTTGGATATAGAGACCTCGGTGGACTGCAAATTAGGGCGGTCTAGGATGGAATGTGGGAACTAGGAGAGTTGGGGGAAAGGGGAATCGGATTTGATGGAAAGCAAGGCATCTTTGGGGAATCAAGGGAGAGACGAGGGAATTAAAGTGGAGGAAAAGACAGAAAAAAAAAGAGATGAGAAATGATTGTGGCAGAATGCAATATGAGGATAGGAAATAGACGCAGGAAACTGCAAGAAGGAAATAGAATGTTGGATGGGATGAGAATTATCGACTAGGCGTCTCGGAGTGAGGGAAACGAGGATGGGGATTGTTAAGTGTTAAGAGGGAAGGCCTTTTGTTCCTATATTTATGTGTATTCTGTCTTGTATTTCAAGGCTAGAGAATAGAGAAGCTAGTGGTTATGGGGTTGTGATTGTTGTGAAATGAGGGAGGTGTGGGTGTTACTGTTTTTGAGGCAAGAGATGATGTGTTTGCGTTATGGTAGGGAGACAGAGAGACATGGCCATAATTTGATGGTTTTTGGTGAGGGAGTGAAGACTATTCAGGTGTAAAGGGGGCAGGGGCAGCCATGTTTGCTACCAGGCACTGCAGTGTAAATAAATTCCTTTTCCTGTCAGACATCTGCTGAATCTGGAACCGGCCAGCTCACACTGTACCCCTTCTATTCATGAACTTCTCTTACCTCTTGGGTCATTTACAGTTACTCATAACCACCAGAGGAGGTAATGATATTTTCCATCTTGTCTGTTTTGCTCCTTCCTCCTCTTTTCCCTCTTCCTTCTGGTTGCAAACAAGCCATACTGATGAATTGCAGTGTAATATTTAACCCTTTTTATAAATTTAAAATTAGATTTTTTTTTTTTTACTAGCAGAAAACATCATTACTGTCATAGTTCAAACATGATTGTGAAAAGTCTTTTCAATATTGATTGGTTTCAGAAGCCTCCGGACCAGTCAACATGCTTTTTGCAATTCTTTAAGTAAACAAGGAAATTGCATCGGTTATTTTACTTGGGGCTGTGCTCCTGGCAAAGCACCGCGTGGGGGTGAGAACGCTGAGGAAAGATCAGCCTGTGGTGGATTATCATGACGGTGCTCTGAATACTGGAAATTTAGAAATATTGTGCCTTTTAAAATGGTGCTTCTGACAGAGCTTGGTTATGTGTGGTGTGTGAAGAACAATGCTGTCTCTTAAATGGCCTGCTTCTATCCTTCCCTTGGCTTGCATGTAGCTGAATGCAGTCTCCAAATGCCGGGTCAGCACAGCACAGCCCTCTATCTACCCAGTGGCATGCAGTGCTCAGATTCTCATTGAGTTGCCAGCTTTTTTTTCCTTGGGTTGGAAGTTCCGTCACTCTCAGGAAAGCTACAGCAATTCTTTAATGTATTCAAATATAACTACTTGTGTGATTCAGAATTGTTACTAAACGTTTAAACCTTGACACCTTTAGATATAAATTGGTGTTAGGTGAAATCTATTTCCTTTTCATATTGAAAAAGGATTAAATATGCGCCTGACTTAAAAAATTGTAATTGTGGTGATCCAAACTTTAGCCCATAGTATTAATATTGAAACTGTCTTCTAATACCAGCAAGTCCTGTAAAAACTGTAATATCATGAGCACAATCCATTTGTTCTACATATTGATTTGATAAACCTTAATAGTAATGTCCTCTTAATTTTTGTAGAGAATCTTAGGCTATATTTGCAGTTTGGTGGAGAAATCCCGTTAAATATTGTTACAGTGGTACTTCAGAGGGTACACCCAGCATAAACACTGGATTTATAACTTGGGGTGTATTGATCAATAAGCTATAGCCAGAATTTTTTTGAAATTCTGGGAGGACAAGTTCCATTCAAAAAACCATTCAGTGTTTACTTTTTGGAATTTATTTTTATGGAGATTTCTTATTTACAGTTCCCTCTTGTTTAACACATTATTTTTAACTAGTTGGTAAATTTATGTGCATGAACTATTTTATTAGTGCACAATTTTTAGGGAAATGGTAATTGTCTATTAAAATAGAAAACATTTCTTTGGAAGCTTGAATGCACCCTCTTGAGTATTCTGGATTCCTTGGGCAGATATCCGTTAAGTGAAGAAGGCTACTCTAGTTATCAAACACTTGAAATCCAAATTCTGCTTTGATTACTGTGCATATCAGCCCACTTGGGATCTTTTTTATTTTTTTGTTTCTTAATTTTTGACAGGGTCTCATGTATCCCAGGCTAGCCTTAAACTTTCTGTGTAATCAAGGATGAGCTTGAACTTCTGACCTCTTTACCTCCTGAATGCTGAGATTATAGACATTTGCCACCGTGCCTGGTTTATGTAGTGCTGGGGATCCCATCCAGGACTTTGATTGCTAGGCAAGCACTCAACCAATGGTGTTACATCCCCAGCCTCTCCTTTTTAAGTGTTGAATTAACAAATGCTCTCTCTCATACTGTTAAGACCAAAGGAATTTTGGATAAAGGAAACTAATTGTCTGAAAGATTAATTATCTTTGGCTCAACTGTCCAAACTGTTCTAAAGACAATAGTTTCTGGAATTTTAAAATAATAATAAACTCGATAATAGCTAATAGTTTTCCTCTTGTATTGTGCTATGCTGAGTCCACGTACGTGATGCCTTTGTGTCTTCACCAGTTCTCTGAGGCTTGTACTTTTAACTCCTTTTTACAAATGGAGAAACTGAGGTTAAATAACTTAACATTACAGATGGTTTTTTGTTTGTTTGTTTTTTTAATTTTTTTTTTTCGTCTTTTTGAAGCAGCGTCTCCCTGTAGCCCCAGCTGTCCTGGAACTCACTATGTAGACCAGGCTGGCCTTGAACTCACAGAGATCCACCTGCCTTTGCCTTCCAAGTGCTGGGACTACAGGCATGCGCCACCACACCCAGAGAACATTACAGATGTTTTAAACAACAAGGCCAGCATTTGAATCTTTTAAAATGACAGAACCTAGAGCAGCAAACCTTTTCTCCTAGTTTCCTCTTTAAAATCAACAGAATAACACATGCTTGTTATTTTAGAATATGTCAAATATTGTAAAAGACTAAGAAGTTAGGAAGAACAAGGCCCCTAATTACCATCGTAACTATTTTGAAGTTTCTTGAGTGTCCTAGACAATTTCTGTGTATTTACTTAAAATATGTATAAATGGGGTTACACTTAGCATCCCAGAACCCCGGTCTCTACGGAGTTATTCCCTTGACTCTATTTTATTTTCAAACAGGGTCTCCTTAAGTTGCTCAGACTGGCTTCAAACTTGATACCCTTCTACTTCAGTCTCCCAGGTAGCTGTGATTATGTGTGCTGCAGTGCTGGGTGCTGTTCTGTTTTACTTGGCTATCTGGGACATGGGCCTACGAGTTTTGTTTTGAAGAGTCATATAGTGGTCCATTATTTGGAGTATTAATACTTAACAATTTTTTGCCATTATAAAAATACAGTTGAGGGCTAGAGAGATGCCTCTTGCAGATGACGCAGGTTCAGTTCCCAGCACCCACATGGAGGCTAACAACTGTTCTTAACTCCAGTTCAGCAGATCCAACACCTTCTGATCTCCTTAAGCATTGCACAACACGGGTACACTTATACATGCAGTCAGTACACTCATATACATAAAATAAAAATAATAAAATATTTTTTAAAAGAATATAGGCGATCTTGACTGTATTGTTTTTAATTTTAATTTTAATTTTATGTGTACGCATGCTTTGCCTGCATGTAGGCAAGTGCACCCATGTTGTGCAATGCCCGCAGAGGTCAGAAGAGGCTGTCGGATCCCCTGGGACTGGAGTCATGGACAGTTGTTAGCTGCCATGTGGGTGCTGGGATTCAAACCTAGGTCTTCTGCAAGAACAACCAGTGTTCTTAACTGTTGAGCCATCTCTCCAGCCCCTTGACTATATTCTTAATAGTCTGAATGGAAGAGAGATGGTCCAACCTAACTTATTTTACATGAGGAAAAATTGAGATCCATAAAAATTAAGTCCAAGGCTGTGGGGTGAAATCTGTTTCTTGGGTCTTTATACCACATCATGTTACTTCTATTAAGTATTTGAGCTGTCTTTGAAAGCTCAAGGTGGGGGAAAGGTTAGGCACACCATGAGTTCCAGGGAGTTGCACTGAGGCAAGGACTGTGCTTGTATCTTTTCCTATTTGACATTTAGCATATGCACAAAACATTTTATGTGTGAATGAATTGTATTTAAGTTATCTTGATGTCTGTGTTTTGTGTAATGAAGTGGGTTTTGGCAGAAATTTTCCTCTTGTAATAAATTTGTCAGTGAAATAAATAGTAATGGGAAGGAAAACGTCAGAAGTTCAGTCATAGTCCTGACAACAAAATTGAGACACTGGTTAAGTTTTAGAAATAAATTGGAAATACCTAATTGAAAACAGTAGGTTAAAAAAAAATCTTAGGAGACACTGTTGACCATTTTAAAATTATTTTTGCGTATCAAGAGGAAAGTAGGTTACCATGGATTCTTACTTTTCTGTTTGTTTTGTTTAAATATTTTATTTATTACTTTTATGTATATGAGTGTATTGCCTGCATGTATGTGAATGCACCCATGTCCTGCAATGCTGCGGAGATCAGAAGAGGTCTTCGGATTCCCCTGGAACTGGAGTTAAGGACGGTTTGTAGCTGCCATGTAGGTGCTGG